CTAGTTCAGTTCTAGTTCAGTTCTAGTTCAGTTCTAGTTCAGTCTAGTTCAGTTCTAGTTCAGTTCTAGTTCAGTTCTAGTTCAGTTCTAGTTCAGTTCTAGTTCAGTTCTAGTTCAGTTCTAGTTCAGTTCTAGTTCAGTTCTAGTTCAGTTCTAGTTCAGTTCTAGTTCAGTTCTAGTTCAGTTCTAGTTCAGTTCTAGTTCAGTTCTAGTTCAGTTCTAGTTCAGTTCTAGTTCAGTTCTAGTTCAGTTCTAGTTCAGTTCTAGTTCAGTTCTAGTTCATTCTAGTTCAGTTCTAGTTCAGTTCTAGTTCAGTTCTAGTTCAGTTCTAGTTCAGTTCTAGTTCAGTTCTAGTTCAGTTCTAGTTCAGTTCTAGTTCAGTTCTAGTTCAGTTCTAGTTCAGTTCTAGTTCAGTTCTAGTTCAGTTCTAGTTCAGTTCTAGTTCAGTTCTAGTTCAGTTCTAGTTCAGTTCTAGTTCAGTTCTAGTTCAGTTCTAGTTCAGTTCTAGTTCAGGTTCTAGTTCAGTTCTAGTTCAGTTCTAGTTCAGTTCTAGTTCAGTTCTAGTTCAGTTCTAGTTCAGTTCTAGTTCAGTTCTAGTTCAGTTCTAGTTCAGTTTCTAGTTCAGTTCTAGTTCAGTTCTAGTTCAGTTCTAGTTCAGTTCTAGTTCAGTTCTAGTTGGTGGCATGTCATAATGTCCAATGTCATAATGTCCATGGACATTATGACACACCCAAAAAATGACATAACGTTCATGGACATTATGTCACTTTTTTAAAATGTCATAATGTCCATGGACATTGTGACACTTTGAAATCAGAAATGTATTGGAAATTTGTTTAAAATTTAAGTTAGGGACGCTCTTATCCCGAAAAGAATTGCTCCTAATTTGGTAATTGTTACATTTTGGACTCCTATTAAAAGTGTCCTGGATAGCCGGCCTTCGGCCGGGCGCAGGGGTTTCAAACTCTGTGGTATTTCGAACACCGGCTTCGCTAAATTAGCCTTTTTTGATAAATGGACTCTTTGAAATCCATGGATTTTATGTCCCATTGCTCATGGACATTGTAACACTTTTGAAATTGTCATAACGTCCATGGACATTATGACTCAATTTAGTGCGTCATAACGTCTATGGACATTATGACATTGGACATTATGACACGCCACCGTTCTAGTTCAGTCTAGTTCAGTTCTAGTCTTAGATCAGTTCTTTATATTTAATTATTTCCAACGTTGTAATTATTCCTAATGTTAATTCTTATTTCATTTCTCATTACAGTTCATAGACCTGACAATACCCATGCCCTGGGGTTATGTGGTGGGACGTTGGTATGGCAATCGTAAAGTTAGACCCATTTTGGCGCTACATGGTTGGCTAGATAATATGGGCACATGGAATACTCTTATACCATTACTACCCGAACATTTGGGAATACTTTGCATCGATTTACCCGGTCATGGTTTATCACCAAAACTACCCAGAGGCATTGTCTATCATGCTGTCGACTATGTATGTGTTATTCTACGTATAATGGAAGTATATGAATGGCAAAAAGTTTCCATATTAGCGCACTCTATGAGTTCAATGTTATCTTTTATATTTGCCTCTTTATATCCCGATCGTCTGGATATGTTAATTAGTATAGATGTAGTGCGAACACGTTATCGTGATCCTGCAACACAAATTGAATTCATACGTAATAATATAGAGAAATATTTAGTGGAAGATGATCGCTTACAATTGGCAGGACAAATGGAACCACCTTCTTATACACAAGAACAATTGCTGCAAGTGATGTTTGAGGGTTCCGGTAGATCGGTGGCATTAGAGAATTGTCAGCATATTTTAGAACGTAATATAACCAAATCAGTTAAATATCCCGATAAATACTATTTCTCACGTGATGGTCGTGTTAAATTCTATTTCGAATTCACCACCTCACCACCATTTGCTGCTGAACTGGCTCGTAGAATTCACGATGTACCCTATTGTGTCATTAAAGGTTCACAGTCCAATTACATAGATGAACAAAGTGCAGAAGTAATCGAAATATTGAAGAGTAAAAACCCACATTTTGAACTGCATGAAGTTGAGGGTACGCATCATGTTCATCTTAATAATCCACAAGGTGTAGCGGCTGTCATCAATCCATTTATTAATAGACATCGACCACCTTTAATAGAAACTTGGTCTCTCAATGATGTGGTCATGAGTGAAACCATGGAACGTTGGAGTATTAAAACTAAAAAACGGAAAAGTAAATTATGACTATTACCGTTCTTTACAAACTGTGCTTTAGAAACCATAGACACCGATGAGGAATCTAGCGATGATAGCAATTTTTAATAAATTGCAAGTATTTTAACTTGATTTTAAAATACTAAAGTTATGCTTCAACAATAAAAAAAATGTTTTGTAAAAACAGCGTATTATTATGGTTTCAAAACAGTTTGTAAAGTGTTTTAAATTTAAGATAAATTTTTCCTTTGTGGATAAAATAAAAAAAAAACACTCCTTAATGAGTTCTTAAATACATATTATGGGGGTCATAAGTTAAAATCGTTTAAGTGCTAATTATGCACTTATACTACAATCTATGCTATAATGCCAACCTATTACACCTTTAGACTGAACTATTTAAATAAGCAAATGGTGAAAACCTAAAACCATCGATTTATATATTTGATTCTTATCTCTTACATATATTCAAATTAAAAATGTGAACCTATTTTAAACTATGATGTTTTTGGATTCCTTTAAATGTTAGTTAAAAGTAATATTTATATGTTAATAAGTATTCTATAAGATTGTTAGTATTTACTAAATTGTTATTTATTTTCTATGTTAACAATTTAATTTATTATTAATATTTTAATATACATACCTCTTAGTTTCCTAAACTTATAACTTAAATAAAATAAAATAAATACATCATAAATAATATATTAATATTTTAACCAAACAATTGTTATTTACTGGAATTTACTGTAATATTTGCAAAATCTAAACTGAAAACTGATTACTAACTCCTGATCCACTGTGCAACAATCAACTTGACAACTTAGTGATATAATGAAGCCGTAAAAAATAGATTACTATTACAAAATTCCCAATAATATATTTTATTGCATTTGTGTGGGGAATTTATATCAACATGGAAAAAACAAATTTATTGTTACAAAGATAATTATGTGTAATTGTAAATGAAAGAAAATTATATCGAACAATTTTGCGGCAAAAATTTAAATTTGCATATTTTCAAATATACAATAAAAAATATCATAAAATAGAATTGAAACTTTATAATTTACCAGCTTTAACCAATATGATTTGCTAACATCAAACAATATAACTGAAAAAACACACTTTAGGAATTTGAAGATTCTAGGTCTAATAGTTTTCCAGATTTATGATTCTTTGTATTTATTTCATATTGCAATTTCGCAAATTTTTCAAAGCGTATTTGGATTTAAAATTTTTAATTATTTCTTAATTCATATTGGAGGTGCCATCTCAAATGTTCACATGTATGTCAAAGTTCTTCGTGCAAAATTTTAGAATTCTAGCTGTAAAAGTTTTCCAGATATACAAACTTTTATATTTAATACATATGGGTGGTTGCACGACCGCTTTTTATATTCCCCCAATTTATTACCCACTTATTCATATTGATGACAGAGTTTTCATTTTCATGGCAAATTTGAGAATTTTAACACTTAGTAAGTCAGTTGTGGCCTCGGTAGGTAGTGTTCTGGTCTGGTAGACCCGATAGCGGCATAGATGAATTTCTTCGGATTTATAAACAGCATTAGTTAGTTAGTTAGTTAGTTAGTTAGGTAGTTAGTTAGTTAGTAGTTAGTTAGTTAGTTAGTTAGTTAGTTAGTTAGTTAGTGTAGTTTAGTTAGTTAGTTAGTTATTTAGTTAGATTAGTTAGTTAGTTAGTTAGTTAGTTAGTTTAGTTTAGTTAGTTAGTTAGTTAGTTATTTCGTTCGTTCGTTTGTTCGGTAGTTCGTTCGTTCTTTAGTTCGTTCGTTCGTTCGTTCGTTCGTTCGTTCGTTCGTTCGTTCGTTCGTTTCGTTCGTTCGTTCGTTCGTTCGTTCGTTCGTTCGTTCGTTCGTTCGTTAGTTCGTTCGTTCGTTCGTTCGTTAGTTCGTTCGTTCGTTCGTTCGTTCGTTCGTTCGTTCGTTCGTTCGTTCGTTCGTTCGTTCGTTCGTTCGTTCGTTTCGTTCGTTCGTTCGTTCGTTCGTTCGTTCGTTCGTTCGTTCGTTCGTTCGTTCGTTCGTTCGTTCGTTCGTTCGTTCGTTCGTTCGTTCGTTCGTTCGTTCGTTCGTTCGTTCGTTCGTTCGTTCGTTCGTTCGTTCGTTCGTTAGTTCGTTCGTTCGTTCGTTCGTTCGTTCGTTCGTTCGTTCGTTCGTTCGTTCGTTCGTTCGTTCGTTCGTTCGTTCGTTCGTTCGTTCGTTCGTTCTTCGTTCGTTCGTTCGTTCGTTCGTTCGTTCGTTCGTTCGTTCGTTCGTTCGTTCGTTCGTTCGTTCGTTCGTTCGTTCGTTCGTTAGTTCGTCGTTCGTTCGTTCGTTCGTTCGTTCGTTCGTTCGTTCGTTTCGTTCGTTCGTTCGTTCGTTCGTTCGTTCGTTCGTTTTCGTTCTTTCGTTCGTTCGTTCGTTCGTTCGTTCGTTCGTTCGTTCTTGTTTCGTTCGTTCGTTCGTTCCCCTGCCCCCTCCTTTCGCCGTCCCTGCCTCCCTCCCTCCCTTCTCCCCTCCCGGCGGCCCCCTCCGTTGTTTCTTCTCTCGCCTTTCCTTTCCCTCCCCTCCTTGTCCTTCTTCCCCCGTCCTTTTTCGCTCCCCTTTTTGTCCCCTTTTAACAACTTTATATTTTAGTTTCTCTGATGAAAATAGATTGCACATATTTAAGAGATTTTTTAAACATTAGTTCTGCCGATGTATGCTTCAGTTATAGATTTTTAATAATTTAATTTGAAGCGTCTTCAGTTTCAATTCAACGAACTCAGAATGCGAAAGCGATTTTTTCAATTTTCATTGATTTTTGTAAACAAAGCCTAAAAGATTCTATAAAAAACCTTAAGAAATAAATAAAAACAAACAGACAAACTTCTGTTTGAAAGAAATAAGAAAAAAGAATTAATTAAAATTATAATGAATGTGAGTGATTATTTAATGTTAGTTGTATAAAAAATTAATGCAAAATAATATTGAGCATAATTATAAGAGAAAGTGTGTACACAGAGAAAAATTACTAAAATTTTTAATGTATTTTATATTTAAAACAAATTATTTCGTTATATATTCTTTCAGTTGAAAAATGTTAAACATGAAGATATAAACATCAGTGTGCCCTGGGGCCACATCGCTGGACGTTGGTATGGAAATCGTAGTGTAAGACCCATATTGGCATTACATGGTTGGCAAGATAATTTAGGAACTTGGGATCGTCTTATTCCCCTGTTACCCCAGCATATAGGAATGATGTGTATAGATTTTCCTGGTCATGGCAGATCCTCCAAATATCCGAATGGCATAACCTATCATATGATTGACTATGTGGACACAATCCTACTAATTATGAAAGAATACAATTGGAAGAAAGTCTCCATATTAGGTCATTCTTTGGGAGGTATTATAGGTTTTATATATACCTCTCTCTATCCTCAAACAGTTGATATGCTTATACAGCTAGATATTATAATGACACCGATAAGAAGCCCTGATTATAGGCTAAAGAAACTAGTAATGGGCACAGAAAAACTCTTAATTGAAAATGAGCGTTTAGAAAGATTAAATTTAGAAGAACCTCCTTCATATTTTTATGAAGAATTAGAAGAAAAGCTATATTTAGGTTCTAACAAATCAATTGAGAAAGAAAATTGTAAATATTTACTCAATCGTAGTATTAATGCATCTCAATTGAATCCAGGAAAATATTATTTTTCACGTGATGGTCGCATAAAATACTATCATGAATTCAATCCTACTCTAGAATTAATTGAAATTATGACTAAACGTTTGAAAAGTGTCAATCATTTGGTGATTAAATTTAATAAATCTGATTATATAGAAAATTATATGTTGGATTTAGTTCGCAAAAACCATTTAAATATGGAGTTTAACGAAGTAGAAGGTACCCATCATGCCCATTTAAATAATCCCAAAGAGGTGGCAGCTAAAATTGTTCCATTTATTTTGAGATTTATGCCAGAAACGGATATGACTACAAGAATACAAAGTAAATTATAAAAGATGATAATTATTTTTGTTTATAAAATATAAAAACAATAAAATGAAAAAATATTTCTGAATTATTTATTTGAATTTATTATATTGTATTATATTTTTCTTAGTGTATATTTAAGTGTTTTGTTTAGAAAAGAGCAAACAACAACCTTTGAACGTTTACTGCACATTAAAAAACATGTATACGATTAAGAGACTTTATGATTTGATAACGCTCTTATCAATGAGTTCTCTTTCTTTCATGTTTATTAGTAGGTTTCTCTTGTTATTAAATTGTGTGTATGCTTCAGTCACAATCATTGCGACAAGCGTTATCGTATAAATGTGTGATAGCAAAAAACTAGTTTTCTTTGTTGCTTTTTTTGAAATAATAAAAATTTAGATAATCATAAAGAAGTTCATGAAGTTTTAATATTAAAATTATTAATATCTTTAAGGTTTTGATAAAAACAGAATTATTTTTTTTTAAAGAAAAATAACTTAGTTTATAAATGTTTTGTGGCAAAAGTGGTGTTTCATTTGTAGTTTGTTGCTGTAATTGTGTTTGTAGCGTGTTCAAGGTCTCTCGTGTTTTTATGTAAATAGTGTTGTAAACGAAAACAAAACTGAAAAAATCGCTTAAATTAAAAATAATAGTTTCGTAAAAGTGATTTTTATACATTCCTTGTGTAATACCAAGAATATTGATCTTAGACCCAACAAAGTATATATACATATTCTGGGCCCTTGTGAAATTCTGAGTCGATTTAGCTTTGTCCGTCTGTCTGTCTGTCTGTGTAAAACATGCTCACGATATTACTAAGCAAAGGAAATCTACCAAATTCAAGCAGTTTGATATTTGATATCAGCAAAATGGGTTCACAACGTAAAAGGTTAGACAAAAAATTTCAGGCTATCTCGAAAATTATATAAAATTACGTTTTTTTCCCCATTCTTAAGTAGTTTTCTCAGAAACTATCAAAGGTATTTCGATGAATTTTGTCAATCAAGTATGTACAAAATCATAACAATTGATGCAATGTTCCCATAGCCCTCATACAAAGGTATATACATGTTCCCGGAAATTAGTTTATCGTTAATAACTCCCTCAACTATATCGGTATCAACATACGGTATCAAAATTTGTACATACAAATATAATATGAACAGAAATCATACTACCAACGTAGATCTGTGTCGGTCCACAATTGGTCATAGCTCACAAATATTTCATTGGTAAATATAGCTATAGTGATAAAATTCGAGTTGAATATGTCTTGTGTACATATAAATTATTTACAAAATTTTTTCCCCGATCGGTTCGTTATTGGTCATAGCTCCCATATAACCCCCACATCCGAAAATCACGTAAACGCACTTATTTCAATGTCAAATAAAGCTATCTTGATAAAAATCGACACAAAAATGCTTTGTTTCTATATGAATCATTCTAGGAAATTTTTTCCGGATAGGCCCGTAATTAGCCATAGCTCCCATATAAGGTCCACTTTAGAAAATCACTTAAACGCATATATTTCATTGATTTTTAAAGCTATGGGGATAAATTCGACTTAATATGTTTTGTGTACATATGAATCATTCTACTAATTGTTTCCCGGATCAGTCCATTATCGGTCATAGCTTCCCCCACTTCCGAAAATCACTTAAACGCACATGTCTCATTGTAAAATAAAGCTATATTAATAAAATTCGACATAAATATGGTCTGTCTAGATATGAATTACTCTATTATTAATTTTTCCGGATAGGTCCGTAATTGGTCATAGTTTCCATATAGGGCCCATTTCCGAAAATCACTTAAACACATAAATTTCTTTGAATAATAAAGATAAAGTTCGACTTGAATATGTTTGTGTACATTCTATAAGTCATTCCCGGATCGGTTCATTATTGGTCATAGCTCCCATATAAGGCCCACTTCAAAAAATCACTTAAACGCACATATCTCATTATCAAATAAAGTTATCTTGATAAAATTCGACACAAATATGTTTTGTTTATATATGAATCACTCTATGAAATTTTTTCCGTGTAGGCTCGTAATTGGTCGTAGCTTTCATATAAAGTCCACTTCCGAAAATCACTTAAACGCACATATTTAATTAATTAATAAAGCTATTGGAGTAAAATTTTACTTGAATTTTATTGCATAGCTATCCCTCCTATGACAAGCCTGTGTTAAAATTATCACTTCTTCAGGTCTTTTTCAGTACTTCCATGGAGTAAATTCTACTTCTTTTTCGCTTCTTCGGAAGTTCTTTTTGTTGCTGGGATAGTGTGTCATCTAAGGATGCCAATCGGTACAGTTTTCTTTTGGGTTTTCGTAACTATGAAAACATGTCTCAAATTAAAAGCACTTATAGGTAAAGATAAAAACAACACAGTTGGCCACACTGTCGTTGGATGTTGTTACTTTTAGGGTGTTTTGATTAGTCAGCGTTAGTGGTTGATGTTAGACGCTTTAAACTAGATAAATATTTTACAAACAAATACGTATTTTTATTAAGTTTGCTTTAAAAAATGTATTTTATAAATTAAAATTAAGATATTTAGGAAAAATACGTGTGTAATGGAAACCAAACAACCATTAGTAGTAAGTATTAATATAAATTTATTTGAAAATATTAATAACATTTATATAAAAATTAATATTTAACAATTATTTTTTTACTTTACATATACTTAAGTATGACTAGTATTTTTTAACCTTTGTACTCTTAAATTGTTTTAATATTTGTTTAATAGTATTGAGAGAAGAGAGTATTTTAAATTTAAAATAAAATTTTGAATAAATTGCCAAAAATAAAGAGAAAAAATTACGTTAAAATGTTTACATTTTAATAAAATGAATTGTAGTCATATTATATAAAATTTTGTAAAAAATATAATTATAAAATTGTTAAAGAAATAATGTATGACAAACATTTTAAATTTTCTTTATAAATTGGCTATTTAAAAATAAGGCTTAAACTTCTCATTTAGTTAAGTTAAGATTTGTAATTCCATTTCTGTTTACAGTTTGAAGATATATCCATTGATGTACCTTGGGGTCATATTGTTGGACGCTGGTATGGTAATCGAAAAGTACGACCCATTCTAGCCATTCATGGCTGGCAAGATAATCTCGGAACATGGGATCGTTTAATACCTCTGCTGCCGCGTCATATTGGTATTTTATGCATTGATTTACCCGGTCATGGTAGATCTTCAAAATATCCCGTCGGCATGACCTATCATGTTCTCGATTACGTTCAGATAATAGTTAGAATTGTTAAGGAATACAAATGGCGCAAAGTTTCGCTAATGGGTCATTCTATGGGTGCAATTGTTAGTTTTTTCTATGCCGCCCTTTTTCCTCACATGATGGATATGTTAATACAGATAGATATAATAAAATCAAAATATTTTCCCGTTCAAAGGCAAATAGAGAAATTTAAAATATTGGCCGAAAGATCTTTAATCGAAAATGAACGTATGGAGGAAATGTCGCTGAAAGAGCCACCCTCATATTCATATCAACAATTGGAAGATCTTTTGCACAAAGGTTCTATGCAATCGGTGGAGAAGGAGAATTGTAAATATTTGCTAAATAGAAGTATTGAGAAATCTCAATTATATCCCGCCAAATATTATTTTTCACGTGATGGTCGTGTTAAGCAATGTGTGGAGCTGCCAGGTGATCATGGCTTAGCTATAGAAATGGCTAAACGTATTAAGAATATAGCTTATATGATTGTTAGATCGGATAAGTTGAGTTTAATGTCAACCATTGATGAGGAAATTGTTGATATTTTGAGAGCTAATAACTCACATTTTGAGTATCATAGATATGATGGTACCCATCATTTACATTTAAATGATGCTGAGGCTGTGGCAGCTTTAATTAATCCATTTATTTTGAGATATAGACCTTTAATACTGGACACCTGGACAGTGGATGATAATGTAAAGGGTGTTAATCAGCCGGAAAAGAAAAGTAAATTGTAAATTGTTAAATGTCTGTAAATGTGCGTGTGTGTGTATGTACTTAAATAAATGTTTAAATAAATTAATTGAAAAAGTCGGGTTTTTGTGTTTCTGTTGATATTCATATTTATCGAGATTTTAAAAAAATCTAAATTTTCAAGCAGAATCAAAATTTTCTTATAAAATCTCCTGAAGAATATGTAAATATTCATAAAATGCCAAATTTTAACAAAAAGATTGAAATGTTCATAGAAAATTCAGAATTTTCATAAAAATCTATATTTTCATAGAAACTCGAAATTTTAATAGAAACAATTTAATTTTTTTTTTTCAAAATTTTCATATCAAATCATAATAAATCAAATCATAAAATATCGATTTTTCATAAAAAAATTAAATTTTAAAGAAAGCCTATTTTTTCATAATCTAATATATAAAACAAATTTTTCATAAAAAATTGAATTTTCATAAAAAAAAATAAATTTTCATAAAAAAACTAAATTTAATAAAAAAAACAAAACTTTCATAAAAAATCAAAATTTTCATAAAAAATCAAAATTTTCATAGAAAATGTAGTATTCATAGAAAATCGAAGTTTTCACAGAAAATCAAAATTTAAAAAAAAAAATCGGAATTTTTGAAGGAAATGGAAATTTTCATAAAAAAACGAAATTAAAAAAAAATCAAATTAAAAAAAAATATATCTAAATTTTAATATAAAATCAACATTTTAATAGAAGATCAACATTTTCAAAGAAATCACAATATTTATAAAAAATAAAAATTATAACAGAAAATAGAAATTTTAAATTTTAGTTAGAAATTTGACATTTTTGACAAATAGTTAAAACTTAATACTAAATGTAAAATGAGTGAGATTTTAAGTTAAACATGTGAGAGCATAAAAAGCTTGAAGTCGAGAGTAAAACGCTCTTGTGAGAGCTATATGAGTATTGCTGCCCATATTCACAATGTCTAGTTATTTGTTAACTTTAAGATATATTAATAGTTCTCATACAAAATTGTCTTAACTGGAAGAACAACTATCTGTT